GAGTAGCTGGGATTTGATTACAGGCGCATGCCACCATGCCCAGCTAATTTTTGTGTTTTCAGTAGAGATGGGGTTTCACCATGTTGGCCAGGCTGGTCTCCAACTCCTGACCTCAAGTGATTCGCCCACTTCGGCCTTCCAAAGTGCTGGGAATACAGGCGTGAGCCACCACATCCGGCCTGGATCATTATTATTATTATTATTTGAGCAGAGTCTCGCTCTGTCACTCACGTTACAGTGCAGTGGCACGATCTCTGTTCACTGCAAGCTCCACCTCCTGGGTTCACGCCATTCTCCTGCCTCAGCCTCCCGAGTAGCTGGGACTACAGGTGCATGCCACCACGCCCAGCTAATATTTTGTATTTTTAGTAGAGACGGGGTTTCACTATGTTAGCTAGGATGGTCTCGATCTCCTGACCTCGTGATCCACCCACCTCAGCCTCCCAAAGTGCTGGGATTACAGGCTTAAGCCACTGTGCCCGGTCTGGATCATTATTTTTAAAAAGTCTTTATTGTCTTTTTTCAAAGGTAATATATGCTCATTATCAAATTTTACAATAATTCAGAAATATATAATACAGAATGTGAAAGTTCTCTGTCCATCCTGGGCAACATGGCAAGACCCTGTCACTACAAAAATACAAAAATTAGCTGGGTGTGGTGTGCACACCTGTAGTCCCAGCTACTAAGGAGGCTCAGGTGGGAGTATCACTTGAGCTCAGGAAGTTGAGGCTTCAGCAATCCCTGATTGTGCTACTGCACTCCAGTCTGGGTGACAGAATGAGACCCTGTCAAAAAAGAAAGGAAAGAGAGAAGGGAGGGAAGGAGGAAGGGAGGGAAAAGTAAAAAGAAAAAGAAAATTCTGTTATTCCAGCTCAGATCTAAACGCATCATGTTTTTTGGAAAAATGAATAAATTTTTCTGCCTTCTTCATAAGATGTTGGGTGAATCCAATGAGATAAAAGGTCTGTACCCATTGGGTAGGTGGGTGGGTGTGGTTATTACCCAGGATCCCCATGCTGGGCTCTGGGGGCAGCGGGAGCTCTTCTCCGCCATCCTCCACACAGTGCTAGAGTATCCAAAGGCCTCCGCGGCTCTCCCTGTACCCGTGCCCTCCTGCCCGCCAGCCCCAGGTGTCCTGCCTCAGCCCAGCTGTCTGGTCTCAGTTGTCATTCTTCCTCCAGCTCTGAGGCACCAGGCAGCCTCACTCCTTTACTCCCAATCCAGTCTCCACTCCTGTGTCCAGGTTGTGTCCTCTACCTGGGGTGCCCTTCCCTCTCCCATCACTACCTTTCACACCTGAGGTCTGGAGGCTCACAGCCACGGACTCTGCTCCAGGATCCTCTCCGCAGGAAATCACCTCACCGGTTCTCTCAACTTTACCTGCATGGGTAGAAGCAGCTTAACACCCACTTCCTGGTTTTGTGGCTGACTGGTTTTGTGTGCTGTGCTGGAGGCTCCTGAGGGCCAAGCTCCCCAAGCTGAGCTCAGTTGTCCGAATGGGACTTACAGGTTCACCCCTCTGGCCTTTGGACCACTGTGTCGTCCTCCTCCCTTCCATCCTCTCTTGCATACAGGTAATTCCTACTGACCTTTAGGCCTCACCCAAGCAGCACCTCGTCTGTGAAGCCCTTTCAGCCTGCCCCGGTGAACCCTGCCCTCCCCTTCCCCACTCCAGCTCACACCCCTGACGCCCCCACCATGCTGGGAGCATCGAGACAGTGGCTGCTTCTCAATCCCCTGCATCACTGAGTCTCCCTTGGCTGGGGTGACCACGAGTGCACAGGGTGAATGAAATCAGAAGTGTATTTGGTTTTTGTCTTAATGATGACTTAACCATTTTAAGAAGTGTTATCACTCAAAGTAGAGTCCCCTCCAGAGGGCATGGGCTTATTCTCACATGTGGCCAACTCTCCCATCACCTTGGCCTCTGCAGAGGCCCTTTGAGCTGATGTACCGAATAGCAGTGTGGCCAGGGCGGGCTGGGTGGAATTCCTCATGCACCACTTGCCAGCTCCCAGACTAAGGGAGCCAGCCTCGACCTTTCCCAGGGTCAGGTTCCCCACTGGTGAAATGGGCTCTTGGGACACGACCTGTGAGAAAGTATGCAAGACCCCCCTCGGGAGCATGGTTAGAGGGGTTGGTGACACAGCCTTTGCTGTTGCCAGGGGAGGGAGCCCAAAGATAAGTCAGGCGGCTGCTGACTGCAAGGAGCTTAGAGAACATGGTGGGCATGACCTTTTGCATCCATTCAATAAACATGCATTGAGCACCAGTACTGAAATGGGCCCTAGCGATGGAGCAGCCCCAGCCCAGGCCTTGCCTAGCTCAGCCCAGCAGGAGGCCAGGCGTGAACACAAACCCCTGATGTCAACACACAGGCTCTGAGTGGAGCTGGGAAGATACTAGACAGCAAGAGAAGAGAGGAAACCCCATGCTGGGGGTGGTGTAAGGTAGGGTATTTTCAAGGAGACAGGAGGTTGGGGTAGCAGAGGGGGCAGGGGGCTGCGAAGGCCCAGCAGAGGAACAGCATGTGCAAAGGCCCAGAGTATGAAAACTGGCTCTGTGCTTGTCTTTAGGCAAACACCGGGGTCAGGGAGGCTCTTCCTCCCTGCCCCTCCCACTGAACTCTTCACACCCTGTCACCTGGGTGGAGGTTCTTAACCTGGGATCCACGGAGAGAGGGGAGGGGAAGAGAGGTCAGAGGATAGAAGCCAGGGGGGTTCTGAAGTTGGGCTGAAGGAATGTATGCGATCTCATTTTCACCCACCTCTAACTGATATTAAATTCCCACCGTAGTAGGTGTTAGCTGTCCCTGTGACTTTGTCACCAAGAGAAACCCAGATATATTCATATCACATTTCAGCTGTTGCAGAAATCTCTAAATATCATTTATACTCACTGGTATTTCAAAATCATGGTGAATATTAGACTTGCAACTTTAGTCTTGTTATTTAATGTGTGAATAAAATACATTATTACATGTGTGTTAAGACTTTTATTAACTGTGTTACTGTATTTCTTTTCTCTCTTTCTTTCTGCAAATCTCACTCTGTCTCTTAGGCTGGAGTGAAATGGCACCGATCTCGGCTCACTGCAGCCTTGATCTCTCTGGCTTAAGGGATCTTCCTGCCTCAGCTCCCCACTAGCTGGGCCCACAGTTGTGCTCCACCATGCCCGGCGAATTAAACAAAAAAAAAAAGTTCTTGTAGAGATGGTCTCACTGTGTTGGCCAGGCTGCTCTCCAACTCCTAGTCTCAAGCGATCCTCCAGCCTTGGCCTCCCAAAGTGTTCGGACTACGGGCCTGAGCCTCGCGCCTGGTCAACTATTTACCATAGTAGCCTTCCTTCCTAATCTTATTTTATTCACTTAAAAATATTTTGAGAAGGGCTTTGTAGGCTTTCCCAAACTGCATCAGGGTCGAGATCTAGAGCGACCAGGCTGGGGCGGGGCGCGGCGTGTTCTTTTTTTTTTTTTTTTTTTTTGAGACGGAGTCTTGCTCTGTCGCCCAGGCTGGGGTGCAGTGGCCGGATCTCAGCTCACTGCAAGCTCCGCCTCCCGGGTTCACGCCATTCTCCTGCCTCAGCCTCCCGAGTAGCTGGGACTACAGGCGCCCGCCACATCGCCCGGCTAGTTTTTTGTATTTTTTAGTAGAGACGGGGTTTCACCGTGTTGGCCAGGATGGTCTCGATCTCCTGACCTCGTGATCCACCCGTCTCGGCCTCCCAAAGTGCTGGGATTACAGGCTTGAGCCACAGCGCCCGGCCGGGCGGTGTGTTCTTAACCGCAGGGCCTGAAGCGGGGCGAGACGGCAACGGCGCACACTACCCAGGCAGGGACGGGGACCCCGCAGGGCCTGCCAAGGGGCGGCCAAGCGGCCCACGGAGCCGGAGAGGAGGGAGGAGCCTGGCCCGCGCTCGGCCCCCGCTCGGGTCGGTGTAGCCCAGCCCCAGACTCCCAGTTGCCGACAATGAGAACAGCGCCGCGGCCTTCGCCCGGAGCAGCGCTTGCGTTCCCGCCGCCCTTCCCCGTGCCCACGAGGAAGCCGCGGCAGGAAGAAGGGCGGAGGTGCCCCGAACGCCTGAGACGGCCCGGCAATGGCCCGCTACTCCCGCCGCGCACACGCAAAGCCCCTTCCCAGGCAGTTGCGGAGTTCGGGGCCCGCTTCCTCTCTGGCCGGGCCTTCGCCGACCGCCTGCCTGTACGGGTGTCCCCAGCTCCGTGACTGCGACTCTCCCAGCGGAGAGGGTCTCCCAGGAAGCAGGGGCGAGAAGCCCTCGAAGGCCCCGGGCGGCGGCGGCTTTCGGCGCTGAGGGCGGAGGGTACGACCGGGACAGAGGCTTAGCGGCGACGAGCTCGCAGGGTGCACCAGGCACAGGCCCCGCCCTCCTCCCCGGGGCCCCTCGCTCTCCGCCCCCCGCGCCCGCCCAGCCCTGCCCCCGCTGTGCCGGATCCTCGACGCCCATCGCGGGGGGCGGAATCCCAGACCCGCCTAACACAGGTGGAAACAGGCGCAGAGAGGCCGAGTGACGAGCTGGGACCGCAGGGAGTTGGTGGCAGCGCCGGGAGAGCCCAGGCTCCGGACTCCCGGGCTGGGTTCTGCCCCCACAACCCGAGAAGGCGGCAAGGGAGCCGGTGAGGGTGACACCCAGATAGGGGCGAGATGCACATTTCGTGTTCCCAAGATGGTGTCTGTAGTAAGATAAGTGAAACTCGGGGCCCCAAACGAGGACACAGCTCAACACATATTTTTTCAAGAAGGCAGGGAGGCTCCGAGTCAGGCTGCTGAGTCAAAATCCAGACCCCAAGCATTCCTAAGTCGGGCCGGCTTCAGCCTCAGTGCCCCACGCCTCGGTTTCCTTATCAGTAAATTAGGGTAGTGTGTAGCTTGTACCTACTCAGGTAGATAATTATATGCCTTTTTAAAAGCAGAGAAGAAATGCTGTGATCCGTTAGCAGTGGGATTCTGGGTGATTAAAACTCGTTTTTCAGTGCTTACCTGTCGAGTGAAAGCTGTCTTATTTCCACTCACTGGAGAGCTCTGGAGACTGGGAGCTGGGAGTCTTGGTTATTGATGTATTCCAGCTCCACATGGTGCCTGGAGCTTCGCATGTTTTGTTGACAGAATAAGCAAATGATTGGAAGCATATACCCATCCTCTCGGATCACTTACTTGAGTACTCAGGGAGTGATTCTAATTCTACTTCACAGCGGTTTTGATCATATGTGGAAAATGGGAACTATAGGACACAGGGCCCTGCAGTTAAAGGGAAGGGGGCAGGCTTCCCGGAAGAGGTGGCCCTAGAGGCAGGAGGAGTCTGGATGGGCCACACGTGGGCGGAGGCTCCAGCACAGGAGGCCCAGGCCTGCCTCCAGTTCAGCAGGACACAGCAGAAGGGTGGGATAGGCAAGTGGTTTGGCCACAGGTGAGGGCCCTGAGTCTGACGGTAAATCTAGATTTTATCAGGGGACAGTGGGGACCGGTAGAGAGCTAGGATCAGGAGGACTGGCTGGGGAGGAGGCCTGGGGCAGTGCCCCTTAGGGTGCCACCATGGTCCACTGGTGAGGTGGTCTGGTCTGGGAGGATGGGAGGTTCATGAAAGAACAAGCTCATCAGGAGTCGACCTTCCTACAGAGCAAACTCCAGGCCCAGACGGCATCCCCCGTGAGTTTTAACATACATGTATGGAACAAAGAGTTCCACTTTTACACAAACTCAGAACAAGAAAAAGAGGGGACTGCCCAACTGGTTCTGTGAGGCAATTATAACTTTGACACCAACACCTGGTAAGGGAAATATGAAAAAAAAAAAAAAAAAAGGACAGGGCAATCTCATTCATGAAAAATAGACACAAAAATCCTACATGAGTAACAAACTGAATCTGGCAGCTTCTAAAAAAGACAATACAACACAGTCAAGCCTGTTTTCTCCCAGGAGCACAGGGTCCGTTCAGCATTGGAAAACTCAGCATCATCTATCACTTTAATGGAAAAAAGGAAGTCACACCATCCTGTCTAGGCTCGTAGAGAAAACTAAAAGATCCACTCATGAGAAAAACTCTTAGCAACCTAAGAATGGAAGGGACTCCCTTGCCCTGACAAAGGGTAGCTGTAAAACCCCATAACAAACATCCTAGATAGTGGAGGAACAATGATAGCTTTCCCTGTGAGAATGGAAACATGACAACGATGCCCATTGTCACCACTTCCAGTAGGGTGCAAATTATACTGGAAGTCCAGGCCAGGGAAGAAAGGCAAGGAAAAAAAAAGGATATAAAGACATGAAAGGAAAAAAAAAAAAAAGCTGTCATTATTTAGAGATGATATAAAAGCCAAAGAATCACAAGGTAAGTTACCATGAGAGTTTAGTGAGCTTGCTAGATATAAAAATATACACAAATCCACTGCATTTTCATTTTAAAATTTTTATCTTTTGAGATGGGGTCTTGCTGTATTGCCCAGGCTGGAGTGCAGCCTCCTGGGCCCAAGCAATACTCCCACCTCAGCCTCCTGAGTACCTGGGACTATAGGCACTCTCAGCTGCATTTTTAAGTTCTAGCTGTAACAGTTAAAACATCCAGCAAGAAAAATCATTTATAGGCCTGGTGCAGTGTCTCACACTCCCAGCACTTTGGGAGGCCGAGATGGGCGGATCACGAGATCAGGAGATCAAGACCATCTGGCTAACATGGCGAAACCCCGTCTCCTCTAAAAAATACAAAAAATTAGCCGGGCGTGGTGGCGGGCGCCTGCAGTCCCAGCTACTCAGGAGGCTGAGGCATGAGAATCGCTTCAACCCGGGAGACAGAGGTTGCAGTGAGCCGAGACTGCGCCACTGCATTCCAGGCTGGTTGACAGGGTGAGACTCCGTCTCAAAAAAAAAAAAAAAAAAATCATTTATAATAACATCACAGACCTCTTAATGAAACAAGTACATGCAAAGATCTCAGGAAAGAAATAAAACAATTTTTTTTTCTTTTTTGAGACAGAGTCTCGCTCTGTCACCCAGGCTAGAGTGCAATGGCACAATCTTGGCTCAGTGTAACCTCTGCCTCCCGGGTTCAAGTAATTCTCCTGCCTCAGCCTCCCAAGTAGCTGGGATTACAGGCATCCGCCATGATGCCCAGCCAATTTTTGTATTTTTCTAGAGACGGGGTTTCACCATGTTGGCCAGGCTGGTCTCAAACTCCTGACCTCAAGTAATCCACCCACGTTGGCCTCCCAAAGTGCTGGGATTATGGGCGTAAGCCACCACACCTAGCCAAGAAAACAATTTTTGTTAAAGTACAAGATCTCTATGGAGAAAATCAGAAACCTTGATTGTGAGATAAAGAGGACATTGTAACTAGAGAGATATACTACCGCGTCCATGGATTAACATTAAAAGAATTCCACTTTCTCCATGTGATTTATAAGATCAATGCAATCCCAATTAAAACTCCAATGGTGCAAAGCTATAAAGACATGCAAGGCTGTGAGTATCACAAAACCGCACTAGGACCTGTAGGGAGAAGAAAAGGTCATGGTCAGGCTGGGGCACAGCCTCTGGGATGTTGGCTGTGTTTATATCTTTACCTGGGTGCTGGTTCATGATACAATTATTCTCTAACTTCTTTGCACAGTTTATGTATACACTTCTGTATGTATACCTTTCTCACCAAATTGAAAGCAAAGGAATAAAACATAGGGACGATCAAAAAAAGAACAGCATTTGGTGACTCAATGTGAAAGCAAGAGGGACTTGAGGAGTCAAAGATAACTGTGTAATAAAGGGCCATTTTATTTCTGGACTCAGAACTAAGGTTGAATCCCCCCTGCTTGCCCATGCTTCCAGGAGTGCACTCTCCTGACTTGATACAGCCAGCAGGGCTCTGGCCACCAGCCTTAGTGCTTTGGAAACAGGTCCCCCTACTTCTGCCCTTCTCAGTGACTCATCTCTGCTTCTTGCCTCCTGCACCCCAGCGCTGTTCTACTGGCCAGCCCGTGACCCTTCTGCTTTCCAAGTGCCAACCTCTGAGCCCCATCCTGAACACCCGTTGCAGGCCAGCAAAGTCCCCTGTGCCAGCTTCGATGCCTCATTGGAACGGGAATGGGCAGGCTGGTCTTGAACTCCTGACCTCAAGTGATCTGTCCACCTTGGCCTCCCAAAGTGTTGGGATTATAGGCGTGAGCTGCCACACCCAGCCCAGTTGTGACTTTTTAGGGCACTTTTCATACATATAAATCTATTTCAACCCAGAGGGGACGTACCCAAGGTCACACTGCATTGGCAGCAGTGGTGAGTAGAATTCAGGTCTCCTGATTGTTGGCCAGTGCTCACCCCTCCTCTGCTCTGCTCTGTGCTTCCATAGCAACATCCCACTGCTTTTCATGGAAACACACTTAGGATATACCAGGAAGAAGGCACCAAGCTAAGGTGCTTTATATGTACCATCTAACTTAATTCTCACAATCGCCTTGAAAGCCAGGCCTGCTTCTCTGCTGGGGCTGAGAGGTTAGGTCAATTGTCCTAGGTCACACAGCTAGTAAGAGTGAGGACTGAAGCAGGAGCAGTTCTGTGTTCTTTCTGTTCATTTCCAGCTCGGACATCATTTCAGATGCAGCAATAGAAGCAAGGAATTTGAGCTGAAGGGGGCAAGTGCTGGGAAGACACAAGGGGCACCAATGTTATGTTGCCAGTTTGTTAAAATGTCAAAGCACCACCAGACTCGGAGCTCTCACTCCCCAAAAGGTGAAGCCATCTCAGGCTCTAGGCACAAGGCCCAATGTTATGCAAGGCCACGAGCTAATACAAGCCTAGACTGCCGGGCCTTGTGTTCTTTTTTCCTTGTGGTGTCAGTTTCCTTTTCTTCATACCTCTTTGTCCCAGTTAACTCTTGTGTTTTTGTTGCAAAGTCTAAGGTCATTTTAAAGGCAGACACAGGGCTGGGTGTGATAGCTCACTCCTGTTATCCAAGCACTTTGGGAGGATCCCTTGAGCCCAGGAGTTTGAGACTAGACTGGGCAACATAGCAGGATCCTGCCTTTTTTTTTTTTTTTGAGATAGGAGTCTCGCTCTGTCGCCCAGGCTGGTGTGCAGCGGTGTGATCTCGGCTCACTGCAACCTCGGCCTCCCGGGTTCAAGCGATTCCCCTGCTTCAGCCTCTGGAGTAGCTGGGACTACAGGCGCCCATCACCATGCCCAGTTAATTTTTGTATTTTTAATAGAGATGGGGTTTCACCATGTTGGCCAGGCTGGTCTCAAACTCCTGACCTTGTGATTCACCCACCTCGGCCTCCCAAAGTGCTGAGATTACAGGCATGAGCCACCGCATCTGGCCAGGATCCTGCTTCTTTAAAAAAAAAAAAAGTGTATATATATATGTGTATGTGTGTATATATATGTATATATATGTGTGTGTGTGTGTGTGTGTGTATATTCAAGTCATGGTCTCACTCTGATACCCAGGCTGGAGAGCAATGGCACGATCATGGCATATCTTTATTTATTTATTTCTTTATTTATTTGGAGAAAGAGTCTTGCTCTGTTGCCCAGGCTGGAGTGGTGGCGTAATCTCGGCTGACTGCAACCTCCACCTCCCAGGTTCAAGTAATTCTCATGCCTCAGCCTCCCGAGTAGCTGGAATCATAGGCATGTGCCACCACTCCTGGCTAATTTTTGTACTTTTAATAGAGAAGAGTTTTCACTGTGTTGGCCAGGATAGTCTCAAACTCCTGACCTCAAGTGATCCAGCCACCTCGGCTTCCCAAAGTGCTGGGATTACAGATGTGAGCCACCATGGCCAGCCTACAAAAATATATATATATTTAAAATTAGCCAGGCATGGTAGTGGTGTGCACCTGTTGTCCCAGCTGCTAAAGAGGCTGAGGTGGGAGGATCACTTGAACCCAGGAGTGCCAGGCTGCAGTAAGCCACAACTGTGCCACTGCACTCCAGCCTGGGAGACAGAGTGACACCATGACTGTTGGAAAATAAAAAATAAAATACAGGCAGACACAGAATAGCTGACACTGGAGGCAGCTGCCCAGTAGGTGCTCCAGGAAGTGGGCTCCCCCACATCTGCCCTGACCTCTTCCAGCTCGTGCAGGCGGCTCTCCATCACCACGGAGCTTCCGGGACAGTTGCCCACTCCAGAAGCAGCCTTACTGCTTTCATAACTTTTATGATTTAAGGCTGAGTTGTTACTTTGCCCCCAAGGTAGGCCCATAAATCTGCCCTTAGGACAGAGTTACATCCATGACCCAGGCCCCACTCTGCTAAGGAGTTCTTTTGGTTGTTTGTAGGATCTGACCCTAGTAACTTGGTTTAAAGCAGGCCGGACAGTTTAAACTAAGCCCAAGCATATGCAATGTGTACAATACAGGCTGAATTTACAGCAGGAAGTTGGTTCTCCTCCCGGGAGAAACCAGGGCCCTTGAGTTTTGGGAACTGGAAAAACAGAGGCTCCCAGAGGGGAAGTAACTTTCAATCCAGTTCAGATATTGAGCACCTCTCTGTGCAAGGCTTGCGATACTAGCTGTTTGCTAACAACCACAGCCCCAAAGGCTGCTCTTAACTGGGCGTGGCCTCACTGCCTCGGCAGGCTTTCACTTCAGGAGCATTGATTGAGCCGCTCTTTGTAAGCAACAGTGGAATCAAGTAGCAACCGACACAACCAACAGGGAGAGATAACCAAGCACCCAAACCAGCATAGAACTGCAAACTGTGCTGCTATGAAAACACAGATGGGGTGAGGGAGAAGGAATATTGGTGAGGGTGGAGCTTCCCGGCTCACAGTAAGCAGAGGCTCTTTGCAACGGAGATATTTAAGCTGAGACCTGGAGAAGAGGAACTAGCAGAGCAAAGAAACAGGAGAGCAAGGAAGGGACGAGCATTCCAGGCAGAGAGAACCACATGTGCTAAAGCAATGAGGAAGGAGAGTGTGGTGTGTTTGAGGAATCTGGCCTGTGTGAGGGGCATACGACAGGAGTTGAAGCAGGCAGGGGAGGAGCTACACCTTAAGCCTTGGTCAGGGGGTTCCATTTCCTTTTCAGTAAAACTGTCTTTTGAAGGGTTCTCAGCAAGGGAATTCCAAGATTAGATTTGTCTTTAAAATGCCATGGGCTGAGGGGGTAAGTGATGAGCGGAAGCTGGGAGGCCACAGGGGAGCTCCGGGGGTGGGGCTTGGGGTGCAGATCTGATGTGGGAAATGTAGGAAATTACTCTCAGTATTTAAACTGACAAAGGTTAATACAGGGAATTAGGAGCTTATGGGATAGGCTGAAAACAATGGGCTGGGGATCCAGGAATAGCTGACCTACCAAAAAGAGCCCAAGTCAGGAAGGTGGCATCAGGGGCCCTCCACGGGCATTACTGAGTTCAAGGGTGTGCAGCTGTGGGGTGACCAGGGGGTCAGAAAACAA